TTTTGCTGCCATTGTGCTGCAGTGTGACGGCTCTAGGGCTGAGCACGCATGCACGCTTTTTCCAGCAGTCTGGAGAGGAACACACAGCTAGCTATTGTCTGGTCAGCTGCGTTGCAAGCGTGCCGCACAATAGCACATATTCTTAAAGCTCACCCACTCCCTGTTTCCACCGTGACTGCAAGTGAAGAGACACGCCAGACCTTCAGTTCACAGCTCACCCAGCTGATTCCTGCAGCAGTCACGTTCACTCCAGCACCTGGGGATGGGTTTCATTAGAACATGTAGATTACTGTTGCTACAAAATGCTACGTGTAACAATATTTGTTTCATTTATAGAGCACATTGCATACACAATGGTAATTCAAAGTGATTTACATAAAAGGATTTAAAATAATCATAATCACGACAGATGAATAAAGAAAACAACAAAAGCAAAGAAATAGTTTATTAATACAAATTAATTTTATTTATACCTGTTTATTTTGATAATTGTATTTGTGTTTTTTGATAATAAAACCTTTTCTATGAACATCTATTATTATTATTATTATTATTATTAATTTTGTCAGTTTTACTTTTCTGAATTAAAATTATTTATATATTTTTGTGATCAAAAACATTAAGGTGGAAATCTTCCTGAATTTTAAAAAATGAAGAGGAAAACAAGATACATTAAGTACTATATTTTATTGAAAAATATTGTATAATATTTTACTTATATATATATATATATATATATATATAGCTTGTGTGTGTGTGTGATATTCAATTTGTCATAAACTGACCAAATGCACAGCTCAAAATTTGTGATTATTTTACTTTCTTTTTTTTCCTTTTTTTTTTTTTACATGTATAAAACATTATTTTTAAATTAATACATTTTTTTGCCATTTATTGTGTTTTTGCAATAACTTCAGATGTAGTAATTTCTCTTTACTCAATGGTTACACCACCTGACATAAATCAAAATGTCACTAAATAAAAATACAAAATTATATTGCAACATACTTTTTTCATACATACGTTTTATATAAACTATTTTTCCTCATATTGGATACCCTTATTTGTCAATGACATTGATACAGTAACAATGATACGATAATTTCCGGAGAGCTTTCAGCAATATCCTTGTTCTTTGTAAGCTGGCGAGCCATAGAGCCCCTTTCTCTAAAAACACTGTCAGCATCTGCTGTAACCTAGTAATTGGTAGCTGTAATTAAGCATGAGCAATGTGTTTATAGTGGTGAGATAAAATGCTGATTAAAGACTTATACAGTGCAATGAAAATGAGAGCATTCACAAGCTGTAGTTTTACTGTCTATTTAATTTGGTCTGCTCTGCAGGATGGGTCATAAACTTGGCCAGAATCGCGTCTTGGCTGCTCGTTTGGGTGGAGGTGGAAAGAAGCGCTACTGCCAGCCTGAATGTACCTGACGACCTCAGAGACCAGAGTCAAACAGAAACAGACTGGGTGGTATATAGTCATTACAGCGCACACAGATCAAGGCTTTATGGGAAGGGAAAATTTCACCAGGGGCCCAGAGTTTCTGCCTATGAGTGTTTTTAAAAATACTGAACTGCTTTTTAGAGTCAGCTTGTGTAGGTGTATCTATTCCTGTATGCTTCTCTCTTGGTCATGCTTTTTAAAAGAATCTAGATTTTATAGTAACACAAATGTATTTCTGTGTAATGTGTATATCAGTGTTTCTGTTAATTGCTTTTATATTTATTTTCACAATGTGTATTCATGTAAATTCTGTAATTTGCACAGGCGACCTGGTTTTGTATGACTTTATTGGACATTGACATGTTAATTAAAATATTTTTTCCCAATTTTTGCTCTCGTGAATTGTTTTATAATTGCTTAACTCCTTTAATTGCTGCGTTCGTGAGTGCCTCAACCTCACACCGTGTCTACACCGGACGCGACAGTTGTTGCGCCGCGCCGCACCGCACCGCACACGACAAAGCAACCATTGAAAATCATATGAAATTTGTGTCAATATTGTGTCAATAAATGGAACGCAGCAGCAGTTTTCTGTCGGGGGTTTGTCGTGTCGCACCGCATCCAGTGTAGACAGCATCACTGATTATAATGAGTTCTATAGTATTTTGTCGCGCCGCTCGCATCCGGTGTAGACACGGTGTCAGCGTCAAAGGTTGCTGTTTACATCGTGTTTTTGCAGCGTTGACGATGTAGCCAGTGTTCTAGTAGCTTCATAAAATTACGGTTGAACCACTGATGTCACGTGGACTATTTTGTCGATGTTCTTGGTATCTTTCTGGAACTTTCTACCTTTCTGCTGTCTATGGAGGGTCAGAGAGCTCTCAGATTTCATCAAAAATATCTTAATTTGTGTTCCGAAGATGAACGAAGGCCTTACGGGTTTGGAACGTAATGAGAGTGAGTAATTAATGACAGAATTTTAATTTTTGAGTGAACTATCCCTTTAATGCTAGAGCATCCTCACTAATTTCAGAAGCAACCTCAGAGATTTGATTCTAGAACCGGTCCTGATGTATCTATACAAAAGCTGATTTTGAAAAAATGTTAATATCCTATCCTATGTTAATAAATGTCCATCATAGTCCACGTTTGGGAGCTTTATAGCATGTCATCAGCATTTAAATGACTGTTTTATCCGCTCATTCTAGACTCTTCCCCGTGATCACGATAAGACAAAAAAACAGCATGATTCATTCTCGCACCTTGTGGGCAACAGCTAGCGCATTCACGCTGCACATCTATGGAAACACAGCCACTGTTTCTGCATTCCTCACATACCGGCGCAGGAGCGCTGGGCACGACTCCGCCGGTGAGCGGTTAGGAGATGCCTTATCCAAACAAACATGTATAATGTGATACTTTAAACACTGAGAATGACTATATTTCGCGCTGGTGTTGAGAAGAAGAGACATACTCGGCGCTTTCAGATTTGCCCTTAAATGGTCAGTGACGTTTCCGGGGTTCCAATGCGTAATCAGAAACGGCCTACGTCAGACGCACAATCAACTCAGGGAATGCCCGGAAAAAAATGCTTGATGTCTTTCATCTCAAAGGAGACTAATTTTGGAAACTCTGATTCCTCTTTTCTATTATTATCCCTTAATACAAATCTATCTTTAATCATTATTATCGAGCTCACTTTGACAGTGACTGTATAATACTAGCATTCTGTTGCTTCAGATTAGCAGTAAACGAGCAAATGCTCAGAGAATATCACAACAACGTGCATGTGATTGTGAATCGTATTATAGTTATCTAAATACCAGGATGGTGGTGTTTTGTTGGAAGGATCTCATAAGACGCTCTGTTTGTTTTACAAGCAACTGTGTGCAACTATGTAGCTCTTCACCTCTCAACAGTTCTCAACCCTGACCTGAACAGCAACTGGATGGAGCTGGAAAAACAAAGCTGACAAAGAAGTGTGCCAGATTGTTACTAAAGGATAGTGGTAGCTTAATGGTTAAAGCTTTGTCCTATAGTAACCAAGACCAAGCCGTGAAAGGATGAAGCATGATCTAGCATCACCATTTTACCCTTGAGGAAAACACAATCCCAGTCTGCCCAGTGGGACTGCTGGTGTAATATGTGTACTGTCACAAGTTGTCTGCTACATAACAATTAGAGATTGTTCTACAAACAGCAAGAGACCTGTGATAAGATACCCGTAATAAAACCTCAAATCACTTACTGAAAAGCTATTTTACACTGAACAAAATTATAAACGCAACACTTTTGTTTTTGCCCCCATTTTTCATGAGCTGAACTCAAAGACTTTTTCTATGTACACAAAAGGCCTATTTCTCTCAAATATGGTTCACAAATCTGTCTAAATCTGTGTTAGTGAGCACTTCTCCTTTGCCGAGATAATCCATCCACCTCACAGGTGTGGCATATCAAGATGCTGATTAGACAGCATGATTATTGCACAGGTGTGCCTTAGGCTGGCCACAATAAAAGGCCACTCTAAAATGTGCAGTTTTATCACACAGCACAATGCCACAGATGTCGCAAGTTTTGAGGGAGCGTGTAATTGGCATGCTGACTGCAGGAATGTCCACCAGAGCTGTTGCCCGTGAATTGAATGTTCATTTCTCTACCATAAGCCGTCTCCAAAGGCGTTTCAGAGAATTTGGCAGTACATCCAACCGGCCTCACAACCGCAGACCACGTGTAACCACCCCAGCCCAGGTGTCTCATTTATAAAACTCTCCGTAGATTTCATCCTAAAACTGTACGTACGCTGAAAAACTAGATTTTGCGTACGCACAAAAGTTTTCAGATTTATAAACCCATTCGTACGCCAGAACCTGCGCAAAAATCCTTTTATAAATCCCAGTCAGAGAAAGATTGTGCGTACGTGCATTTACACCCCGTCTCCTCCCCGAAATCACCATATATGGACATTACAACGCCTAGTTTTACTATGCATGACCTCATCTGCATATCATTTCCATGCATATTTCCAAAAACAAGTGTTGCGTTTATAATTTTGTTCAGTGTATATGGATCATGTTGTCAGATCCTTTTTTGGAGGTTATGCAAGCCCTGTACAGGCTCTTTAGGGAGGAGCAGAGCTTGCCAAAGTTGACGGAACAGGACATGAATTACTTGTAAAGTCTGCATTCCTGTCAGTACGGTTTCGTAATTAACTGTGTATCAGTAAGGATATGACGCTGATTCCAGGACAAAAGGATATGAAGACTATCCTTTGGCAAACTGTTGATTTGTTTGCACGTCACTTACGGCTTGGTCTTCCTTAACATTTCCACTGAATGCATTCACACCTCAGTGGGGTAATTCCCTCTCACTCATACAGTCCGAACTAAATCTGGCAAGACTTTAAGGATTTACAAGGATGTTTAACAGGAAATGTTTTGTTATTTTAAACTTTGACCAAGGGAAGTCAGTCTGCATTTGCAGTAGTATTGCTTTGTCACCAGTTATTGAATCTACCACCCCAACACCCAAAGCAAAACCATAAGACAGAGAGGTGTACAATTCTCAATCAACAATTTATTGAAACAATACTGCATTTGACAAGAGCAGCAATGCATATGTTACTCTATTTAAATGACTGGAAATAACTTACATCAATTCATAATATGCATTTCTCAATAACTCAACAGAATTCATTTTGTTCCACAAACACTGTCCTTCTCAGTGCAGTCTAACAAGCGATTGCGGTCCATTTGTAGCTTGGCATTAATGCCACTGCAGTTCATAGTCACTAAAGTCCGGCACATACACAGATCATTCACTCGGCATTTGAAAATGTTCGCCCCCCAGGCAGCGATAGTGACGCACACTCGTCGCTTTCCAACCCATGGCACGCCCACGCCGCCCGCGTGCAAGTTCTCCGGCACCGCTTGCGCCGACAGGCAGCCTTTCACAGTTCATGTTCCCACAACTTGTTCCTCCGCTACCACTTTTTTTTTTTTCTTCAACGGAGGTCACACAAGCTGGAGGGGCAGGGTGGAATGTACCGGTCCCGTGCGCACAGTTCCAAGAGCTCCACTTCTCTCTCACAGCCCCTTTGAATGACGCAGCACTCAACGGCGGCTGGTGCAGAGCCCTTTTGCTTTCATTCGCAGAGAATGACTCGTTCATCCTTTCATTGCATCAAAAGCATCGCCGTTCGTTCAGCGTTCTTGCAGGGACAGATAAGGAATCCATTGGTTCTTGCAGCGGCTCTCTTCGCAGTAGTTGCCCACGTCCTTCAGTGCCTCGCACTTGAGTGGCTGACATTGAGAGTTCTGTGAAACGCATGAAATGCACCGTAAGTCAATGTCATATGATCTTAAGATTTAACTATGAATGCATGTTGCATATGATCATGCAACGAGCTAATTCTAAGTCTACTTACAGTGACTATGATGCAGTGGAAGTCCCTTGGCTCGTTGTTGTCCACGGTGGTTGGCTCGCCGAGCACCTGTGCTAGGCGTCTCAGCCCAGACACCCGAAGGATGTTGATATCATTGTCGCAGCAGAACGCCTGAAGGAGCGTGAAGTGAATCTGCAGCGCAATATCATCCTGGTCCTCCTCATCGGTGGCCAGAACGCACAGTACGACACAATCTGGGTCTCTGTAGATCAAATGAATGGCAATTAGTCTCCTGTTTGTCGGGATAACGCAATACAACAGCATGTGTAAAAGTCATACATAAGTATATACTTACACATTCATTAGTTTTGCAGACTCATAAACGCCGACTGTAAGACAGTCCTGTCTCTGTGCTGCTACCAGCAGCTCTTCCAATGCTTGGCTCACGGTGTCCATTCTGTAAAAACATGCGGACAATGGTAAGCGACAGTCGGATGGTTGTCTGTATAGTAAGATGCCCATTGAGATTCGCACTGAATGTGTATGCAATGCATGCAATGTAGAACTTACTTTTTATCAGTGATATTGCATCCAACGACTTCTTCCAGGGTCATTTTGCTTCAAATAATAGTGATCCACAAGTCTCCGGAAGAGCTCGCAAATATTAAAATCCAGTCAAAGTGTGCTGGCCAAAGTATAATCCAAATATGGCTCGTAGCTGTAGTATTCCTTTGCTCGTTTCGCTGTGTCTTAGAAGTTGTTTCTGCCGACTTCAAGTGAAACCCTCGCTTTTATACCGCTTTCGAGTGGGCGCGGCTATGCGAAACGCTCGCCTTTCTCATTGGCTAGAAATGTTCCACAAGCGTCTCGCTCTCGCTCTGCCATTGGTGATGGGGGAAACTCCTGCTTAGACCCCACGTGGGCTGATTCGGGGGAATATTTGCCCAAACAGCGAGTACAACATGCACCCAGTAGCTTTCAGTTTGTTTGTACCGAGTTCGATGGAATTTCCATATGGAAATGATAGAGTTTCCATGGTGCTTTCGATGTGCATGTTGCAGTTTTGTCTGAAACCTTTGCATCATGTACAAAACTTAATAAAGCCAGAATTTTACGCAGTTTTCATTTATATTCGGGTTTGAATCGCAAGTATATCACACATATGGGAAAGGAATAGTGATTGCATCATGTTATTTGGGCACATCCTGAAATTGCACAAGCCGGTTGGTCGAAACTCCTTTGCATTTGTGGTGACTCGTGACTCCCAGTTCTCACCCCGATGCAATAGCGTGCACAGTTAGTGAAGAAAATTATGCATTAAATTGGATGGCATCTATCTGTGCAGGAGTCACTGTTTTGCTTTGCGTCTGCTGCGGAGGCTCTAGAAGGCAATCGAGTTTCTGTCTCCGTGTTACCTGGAACTTTCATCACCCTGTTCCAGTTCCACCGGCTAATTATAGACGGTACAGTCACAGGATCAGAGCTGTTGATGTTCTCATGGGACCTTGTTGTGCTCGAGTTACGAAACCCGTCTGCATAAACACGGGTCAACGTCTTAAGGGAACTTAATTGTTTAATCGATTTACTTTCCTCAATAGAAATGCCTTTAGAGTCAATTCTGTCATAGCCTAATATTGTAACGTAAAAACATAACACATTGTGTTTATGTCCGTGCAGCAACACTTTCAGACATGGCTTGCATATCGAGTGCATTTATGCGTTTCAAATTAATCTACAATTACTTTTAAAATCAGTCAAATAATCAATAACTCAAATCAATAATCTCAAACTGAATTGAATCAGTTCACTGTTCAAATGCGCCACCTGCTGTCAAATGCTCGCGCAATAAATCATTTGATACTCTCTGGAAACGACATGGAGTAAACTGTAAGTTTGTCACAAGCTGAAATATGCTGTAAATGGTCATTATTAGTAAATAAATGCTATTTAAAATCTTACAAGTGATAAAGTGTGCTACTATGAGTTTCAAGCAAAGCATTTGCAGCACCTCTGCAGAACCATCTTCTATCAACGACTGTCACCTGTTGGTGATGATATGTCATGGCAATTTATTTGTGAAATGGCTTATCCATCCAGTTGCAGGGTAAATGGCTTATTAAAAACTAGGACTCGACAAGGTGGACTCGGACCCAACACTGACGCAATTACTTTATTTTATTGTGTAGTTACATTTTGGTGGCATTGCTTAACCAGTCAGAACTTGATAATCTGAAAAATCGCGAAAATGGTTCTGTGCGGTGTTATTAGTATTTGTCAGCAATAGCTCTAATTCCGGTCACACCGAGTCGCTTACATCTACAAAGGCAACTTACTGTAATGATAATATGCTTGAGCACACATTATCCTGAGTGTGTTTATTGGCTGCGAATAATGGTAGATAATTAGCAGGACTTCAGAACACCTTCGTGCTCTCTGAAGAATGGCACATAGGCCTACGTGAGGAAAAACGTGTCCTTAACACGAGGAATGGTAACAGTCCTAATATACAGGAAGCCTATAGGGGGGTCGGCTGTAATCCAGCACTACCGTCTCACGGATCCCCTGTGGTACCTATTCATTTGGAATACACTTTGCACTTAATCTTGACACCTCATCCCTCACACTACACACACAGGTCGGGTCAAAGGTAGGTTTGCATAAAGTCTACAGGGTCTCCAAAAGTCCATGGCTCACAAAGTAATTAACACACCCATTAAATTTGTATTAACGTCTTGGGAAAAGAGGCTACGTGCAGGGGCGTCATGCACTTATTTTTGAGGGGGGCTCGTATTGCTTGTCATTATGTGACGCACAGAAGCCACAATCTGTATAACTAATGTAGGCTTATTGGTTTTAATTTAATCTTTCCTTTTTTTATTCGAAATATTCCCAAACGTGTTAACTATATCATGAAATATCTCATTCTCAAATGCATGCAAAGTAGCCTAATGACTGAGTAATCTATTAACTACGCATAAAACCCGTGTTTTTACTTAAATATGGGTATCATAAACTATTTTAATACGACTGTGTATTTAACGTGAATTTGATAAACAACATTGTAAGTTATATCTCATTCTCAAATGCATGCAAAGTAGCCTAATGACTGAGTAATCTATTAACTACGCATAAAACCCGTGTTTTTACTTAAATATGGGTATCATAAACTATTTTAATACGACTGTGTATTTAACGTGAATTTGATAAACAACATTGTAAGTTACAAATTAAAACACTTTCATTGTACAGAAAGAGAGCAAAGAACATTTACATTATCAATGAACATTATCGTTGATTTCAGTCTAGCCAGAGTTCAAGAACTCTCAAAAACTTTCATTGTAATCAACTGAAGCTGTTTACACTGTGAAATGAATCTCTTACATCTGCATATTATTGTTTCTGATGAGAGCATTCGGCAGAGTGGGGTGGTAAACCAAATTTTTTAAATTTTATAAACGAATTTAAACAATACTCTAATATGGTATATAAATGTAAAACAAAAAAAGCTCTCAGGACTTCTAACATTATCTGCAAATTTGAAATAGACAAGTAAACTGTACCGTCTTCATTATTTTAGTTGTTTTATTTATTTTATGTTTTCTTTCTTCCTCTGGCTAATTTTTTATTTTACTTGTAATCTTGTGTACTGATGGCATTTATATGCAAAGTTGTATTTCTCTTACTGTTATATATGTTCATATGCAATAAAAAAACAGATTCATTTAAAAAAAAAAAAAAAGCATTCGGCAGAGTGCAGGGCGTTTCAGCGATGACTCATCTGAACGCCTCTGATTGGCCATTGCATTCATAAGCTCAACAGAATCGTGTGTGATTGGTTATAATGCGGCTATTTTTTTGTCTTTTGGAAGCTGCATTCAAAAAAATCCACTTGGCTCAAGACGCGGAGAGAGCACGTGCCTCTGGCAATATGGCGGGGGTCTCAATTTTTGGTGGTTATGACAAAAATACAATCTTTCCACTACATTAATTTATGCTTCCAAACGGCACTTTGCATTCAGTGCACATGTGCATACGTAGCCTACTAATATTTAATATCAAATAATCTTTTTTTTAATGTTCGAGACTATAGTTTTTTATTTATAAAATCGAAAATGTCTTTTTAAAAATCTGAAAGATTAAAAAAAAAAATCCTTATGAATTTATAATTTACCCACGTTTGTTTCAGAGCAAGCATGACGTCGCCCAGTATGCCTCGTTTTTATTGGTGACGTAAGGACGTATAAATCAGTATTCTGAAAAGGATCACCTGTCTTCAGGTGATGTGTGGCGGGTTACGGGGAAACATATAGGAGAGACGCCAGGTAGGCTGTTTACAACACAGTTTAACAACTAATTAGCACATATTTTCGACGTTTAGTTTTGTCAGTGTCAGTAAGATCTAAATAATTTGTCAACAGCATGTCCTCACCTGGTTTTACTGATATCTTCCATTGTGAAGACACTCAGCAATCAAAGGGGCCGTTCTCATTCACTGATGATGGGCAAAATGACAGTTTGGATGGGTAGGTTAATGGATAAGCTTATAATATTTCTGAAAATATATGAAATATCAAAATAACTTTGAGTTTCTAAATTGTAATGTAAAAATCCACTCTGGAAGCTTTTTAAACAGGCAGTAGGCTAATTTTATATTATAAAAAACCACTCTGTTTTTCAGGAGTTCAACTGATTTGACTGATGTTTTTGAGGAGGATTTGTGTGAGGGTGATCTCTGGATTCCTCCAAATGATGATTTGACGCAAAACATTGCTGCCCAGCTGGAGAACTACCTTTCTGATGAGAATCTGGCAGATGATGCTTTTCTGCTAAAACATGTGCAAAGAAACAAGATGGGTTATGTTAGCTTGAAGCTGCTGACGTCTTTCAAGAAGGTGAGATCAAATAATCAGCAACATCTCAATCTGATTTGAAGTGTCATCACGAAACAAACTGTAAAACTGTTTAAAAAAAAAAAAAACTGGTTGTCTGAATTTTACATTTTAGGTTTTACGGGTTGAGTTTAAATTTACAGTTAAAGACCAACCCTCTGAATTACTACATCTGTTTTGTACCTTTATAATTGGCAGACAACCACCTAAAAATATAGGTGGTAATGAGAAATTCACATGATGAATCAAAACTCATTACAAGTAGCTTTTCCACAGGCTGAGGATGGTAGATACTATATAGAAGGTGCATAGTGTCTAACAAATACAAGACACTATCAATGTAACACGACACTAAAATAATACAATAAATGTTAATTTAACAACATAAGATGTAACCTAAAACCTGTGCTTTGATTCGTGATTTCATAGATTAAAGATCTCACGCGTGACTGGCGCACCACACTGGCGGCTGCAAGAACGTCTCCGCAGCTGGAAGTGAATGAGATGGGAACCAAGGTGCGACGAAGGACTCCGGTACCTGACTGGCTCCTGTGCATCCCCACAAGCAAGCTACTTCTGGCCTGGAACTTCCTAGACGGTGTAAAAGACGAGGAAAACGGGTCACCCGGTGTGGAGCAGCTAGGCATCATGGAAGCCGCAATGCGGGTGTTTTCCCCCTACGGCACCATCTCATCTCTCCGCATTCTGCGGCCTGGAAAAGAGATCCCTACGGAGTTGAAGTGCTATACTAAGAGACACCTGGAACTGGGGCGCAAAGTGTGTGCTGTGGTGGAGTATGAGTATCTGGAAGGCACGCGCAAGGCCTACGAAGCCCTGAAGGCGGAAGAGCAGCAGCAGGGAGGAAGGGGTGTTTGTGTGGTCCTGCTGGGAAGCCGTGGAACTCGTAAGCCAGGATGGAGCCAAGGTCTAGCGGAGGAAGAGTCTGAAGAAGGTATTGCCAATGAGAGTTTAAAAAGGCCAAACAGAAAGACCAGGCGCTTCTTTTATTCTCTGGAGGATTCGGCTGTTTGCAGCTCTTCAGAGTCCGATTTTGCCCCTGCTTCGCCCCGGCCCAACCGCAGAGTCACCCGTCCTCAGGCCCTCTACGGCAGCCCCCTCGCCATCCCACGGATATCGACTTTCCGCTCTGACCCTTACAGGAATCCCCTTGGCAGTCCTGTAGGAAGCCCTCTCTTGCCTCGTAAGCTTTTTCCTTGCAGTCATGTGACCTCTCCTCTGGCCACACATCCTTTCAGCAGCTCGCCCATTGTAGCTGGTACATCCTCCTCCAGCAGGTACAAGGGCTCGGGTGAGCTCTCCCCAGACGACTTGGGCTTCACAAGCAGCCCTTGGGTCCAGAGACGTAAACATGCCGCCCAGGTCATTCAGCCTGAGATGGGCGACTCGGTGTCACCCAATCAGATAATGAGGTCTTTAAGTGTCCTGGTTGTTCGCCAGCCTGTCGGCCCTGATGGGACCAAAGGGTTTCATAACTGCATTGGTAGAGGGAAGGTGCTGCTACCACACTGACTCCATTAAAGATGCATTATAAGGTCTTTTTCCCCACTGAGTCTGTATGAGTGTAGTGCAACGGAAGCACTTTTAATGCAACATGATTACTGTTGCATGATTATTTGTCCTATTAGTGAAAATGGAAATAATGTTAAGAAAAAGTGTCTAATTAAATATTGAAATAAAGATGAATTTGTACTCCAATTTTAGTGAATGCAATATTATTTAATATTAGGATTTGAATTATGTCCTGCATATCCACCTTTTTTGTAGCAAGCCTACTGTGTTTTAGATTATAGGAGGTACCTCTGGTTTAGGGAATTTCTTCTCAAAAACACTGAAACCATTTAAAATCATAAAGTTGTGCTACAAATATTTCTTATCCATCAGTTTGCTTGAATGAGCTACAAATGTACTTTTCTAATCCCTATTAGCAGCGTTTACTGGGATGTTTTTAAAGCATCTGTCAGAATGATGGAAAACACATTGAAATATTACCATTTAATGTTCCATTTGATTAAGGCAACATATGTGACCCTGGAGCACAAAACCAGTCTTAAGTCGCTGGGGTATATTTGTAGCAATAGCCAACAATACATCGTATGGGTCAAAATGATCGATTTTTCTTTTTTGCCAAAAATCATTAGGATATTAAGTAAAGATCATGTTCCATGAAGATATTTAGTAAAGTTCCTACTGTAAATATATAAAAACGTAATTTTTGATTAGTAATATGCATTGCTAAGAACTTCATTTGGACAACTTTAAAGGTGATTTTCTCAATATTTTGATTTTTTTTGCACCTTCAGATTCCAGATTTTCAAATAGTTGTATCTTGGCCAAATATTGTCGTATCCTAACAAACATGCATACATCAATGGAAAGCTTATTTATTCAGCTTTCAGATGATGTATAAATCTCAATTTCAAAAAATTGACCCTTATGACTGGTTTTGTGGTCCAGGGTCACATATGTTAACATGTCTGTAACTGAAATAATCAGGCTTTAGGAGTTATTCATGGTCTGTTGCAGTAATTTAATGTTTTTACACCATTAAGTTTCCTTTTAATGTTCATTGGGTGAATAAAGTTACCTCATTGTAACCGGTTTTTTTTTAATGTTTATTGCGTTCATAGAGCAAACCTTTCGCAGGGAATTTAATCTCATAATTCACACAAAGCATCAGGAAAAAGGACGCACTAGTACACATTTAGCACTGAAGAATAACAAAATAGTTTATTAGAATTTTTCAGAATAAATAATTCCATTGAACAAGTAACCATCAGTCTTTTAGGCACTGCTTTACTTTATCTGTAGAGAAAAATGTTAGCAAACACACTTCTGTACAGGGCACTAGCAAGACAAATATGGCATGCCCCAATATGTAACATGCTGCAGTTCAAAACCACATATAACTCTTAAAACGAACACGAAAATATTGTGTAACCATCACATCTTAGCAGGACACATGACACGCTGTACATGAATAATGCCCCATCATCAGTACACTCACTCACTACATTATGGCTCCCCTCCATCTGGCAACATGGCAAAATATGACAGGCTTGCATAGACTTGATTTTGCTAGGCTGAATTAAATGAACAACAAAATGAATCTGGAGAAAGGCCTATACCATATCTATATGTATTGGCATCACATTAGAACTGAAATAACAGCAAATAGGACAGCTGTTTTATGTTGACATGTAAATATGTAACATGATTCATTCAACCCAAGAAACAGCTATACAAGATATTCAACAAAAACAAGTGTTTAAACACTCATTACGATTTCTCAACCATGAGCCTGTAAATGCATAAGCAACAGCTTTAGCTGGCTTGGATTTGCTCGGTTTATCTGGTGAAGCTCTATTTTAAGAACTGTTTTATTAAGGGAGGCTCTCAGAGAACAACTTCACTGCATAGATCATTTAATTATATATATGCACCTTAAATTACAGTTTGGTGTCACACTGTCACTAACAGCAGCCTGGAGCTTCAGCGCTGAAGCTCAACTGCACAATAGTGGTAGGGTCTCTCAAAAACTGGTTTGTGTATTACTCCCATGATTTACTTCTGATACTCGTGAGTTTCCAGCACAAATTTTTAAACTTCAGCGGAGTTTTCAGTTTTTCAGGAATGTTCTATTGTGTACTAATATACATTTAACATTTCAAATTGTATCAATTAACAAACAACAGAATATTTATAAACATCATAAATTCTGTAAAAAAAGTTTTTCATTTATGATACCTAATTCATTAACAAGCCTTACTGTAAAGTTATTTTATTTGTATTTCTTTTATAAAAACGTGTCCAAAAGAACTTGTACATGTAAGGAACAAAAAAATGCAGTTAAAAGGAATAGTTCACCCAAACCAAAACTCAATAGACATATTTAAGCTATTTTAAAATAAACGAAAATATTATTAAATTATTAGAGACGAAAATATTTAATGTTAGGGTTTGCATGATTTGCTGTATATTTGTGTTTCTGAGGAAAAAGTACACACTTTAGATATTTAGCACTGAAAAATAATTTATTAGAATTTTTCAGAATAAATAATGAGATCAAACAAGCAACCGTGAATTTTTTAGGCACTGAAAAATGTAACAATTTAAATTCACATTATAGTCCAACGACTTGCCCTCCTCTGTGGAACAACAGAGGTTTTTTTTTTTTCTTCATCCACTGGACTCTAACTTTGTTGAAATTAAATGCCGTGTTCTGCAGAAGAAAGTAACACAGGTTTAGAACCTGTCAGGACATGACATGAAGTTGAGCAAATGACAAAATTGAAATGTTTGGGTGAGCTATTCCTTTAAACTTTCCAGCATAGGTATGCAAAGTATTGTGTTGCATTTTAATATGGGAGTTTGAGACCAACGGTCAAATTTATGATATAAACCTGTCTGTTTGTGACCAGTGCATGGCATACAATGGATAACACTGGGTCTAAATCATCTAAATCCAACTCCTGCGGCTCTCCGAACAAGAATCCATCATTTGTACATTGTCAATGACTGCTGAAATTGCTCACTGAGAGGCTCCAACAAAACAGTAAGCATGCAATGTCACAGTATATTACATCTCTAAAACATTTTCCCAGATGCTCTTTTAAAAACAAATGAAACTGCAGGTGGACTGCATGTAACAGTTCATTTCAATGCAAATTTTAAAAACGTTCTTCTCTAATATTCATGTAACGCAATCAATCCATAAGGTATAAACAGAGAGATATCAAAGCATCTGCAAATTTAAGTTAAAAAGGGAAGAATAAATATCAATTAAACAACTAGTTAGTCTATTTTGAACTGAAGCTAAATATTTTTTTAAAAATGTTTAATTCAGTAATGAGAACTGAAGTAGTCTGAGGGACAAATCTAAAAGATATGTGGCATACTTGCACCAATTTGCGCACAGATTTAACCAGAATTGACCAGGCATTCGCTCTTTACATTAGCATCCCATTCAAACTCCAGTAACCTGTTTTATGATACGACAGATGTTTTACCAGACACTGAATCAACTGTAACCATCAAAACACACAGGCTGCTAAACCTGAGATGAGGAGCAGTTGAATTGAGACTCTCATACTGTGGTCCCAAACACAACCCCATCTAATTCCTGATCGTCAGAGTCATCCTCGCTGAGGGAGAAGTCTTTGTGGTTGGAGAGGCGGCTGGGGCTGCAGTTGGATTCTCCATCCATGAGAGAGCTGTTGGTCGTGGGCTTCCCCAAGTCACTGACAGGCCCCATCCTCTCTGCCTCGGCCATTTGGGCCAGCATGCTGTCCAATAACGGACGGCTTTTGCAAATGTTGTCCAGCAGCTGACATCGGTGTTGTAACTGTCCGATTAGAGAATCTTTTTCCTTAATCGTTTGGTTGAGTTTATGGATGGATTCCTCTGATTGACAGAGCTTCTCATGGAGGAAGAAAATCTCTCTACATGAAAAATAAAGATAAAAATTACCTTTTTAATTAAAGCTGCAGTTAATGCACCATTAGTTGCACCAATTGGAATAGAGCTGTTCAGTCATAACATCAATTTGTAGGCCAATCTAGACAGCTAATTCACTCTCAGGAAATTGCTTTTTTTTTTTTATATATATATATAAGAGTAGCAGTTGTCGAATTGTTTAAAGGGACAGTTCACTAAAAAATGAAAATTCTGTCTTCAATTACTCACCCTCAAGTTGTTCCAAAACTGTATCAGTTTCTTTGAGCTGTTGAACACAAAAGAAGATATTTTCAAGAATGTGGGTAACCAAACAGTTATTGGTCCCCATTGACGTTCATAGTATGGAAAAAAAAATTCATGCAGATTTGGAATAACTTGAGAGAGAGTGAATAATGGCAAGATTTTCATTTTTAGTTGAACTGTCCCTTTGAAGTCTCTGTTTATTACTTGAATACATTTTCATGTTTTTGTTGGGGGTAACTCATTACAAGTAATGCGAGTTACGTAATCAGATTACTTTTTTCAAGTAACTAGTAAAGTAACGCATTACTTTTTTAATTTACAAGAAAATATCTGAGTTACTTTTTCAAAAAAGTAATGCCAGTTACTTTGTTTTCCCATTTATTGACTGACAGCTCTCCTGTCCCCATATTGGGAGAAATCGGGAGTACAGAGGCGTTGTGTGCGCTGTGTGAACATGATGTTTCTGTAGTTCTAGACTAAATGTGAATGTGCATTAATTCATCCCACTCACAAAAAACAGATTTAGTATTCATACAAATTAATTAAAACAGTGAAATGCAAACTCAGAATATGACGCAAACCTGCAATAATTCAATATGTTAAATAACACAAATGTATCTAATCCCATTTTATTAACCAATATCTTTGCTGCTGACCTTTGATGATCCAGTTCAACCATACTAATAAGCAAAAATGACTTTAGATAAACTAACAATTGTGCTTAGTTTTTTTATTGCTGAAGAGTGTTTCTTCTGTGTTCTACTGTATAAACGTGAATTTACTTTTGCTTCAGCCTGAGGTTTATTCATTACACTTTTTGGTGTGAAAGGGCTTTTATATTTGCTATAAATAGAACTTCTTATATTAAAAACAATCAAGCCCTGCT